TTTTTTTTTTATTTTATTTTATGATAGCGTCCATCAATATCATTTGTTACTAATTGTATTCATTTATGTCTTTAGTTTAAATCAATTAAATCAAAGAATGAACTTTATCAAACATATATATGGACAACATTGGAAATATGATTTAATAAACATATATTAGCACGTGTTGAACGTCATTTGAAAAAACTTTTTTTTCGAACGACAAATTTCTCAATCATTTTATCAAGCACAAACATTTCTTAATCAACTTTAAGTTTGTTTGTTGTTTCACCTTTTTTTTGTACATATTAAATTAAAATGTAGAAAAAGAACAACATTGAACGACATTTTTGTTCTTCTATTGATTGAAATAAAAAAAAAGCAATGATAAATATTTATTTATTTAATCATGTTCTTCAAAAAGATAATCATATTTAAAGACCTTGATAATGTAATTCGCGAGTAAACTGAATAGCAGTACAACATGGACAACATATTGATACATAACAATGATTGCATAGATCACCCTAAATGTAAAAAAATAGTATTTTAATATTTAAGAATGCAGTTTTTCAAATTCTTTCAAACGATTATTTTATTGATCATATACTCGTACTGAATCAGGGTTACCAAATCCAAGTTTGAAAAACCAGGAGGTTCTTGAAAAAACCAGGAGTTCAGCAAGAGATTTTTATCCAAAGCTGGTAGAAAAATTAGATTATTTTTCGGGATTAGACAATTGTCTTACCATTTTTCTTATAGAAAACTGCGATTTTCTTTCACAAATGAGCTTATTTCCTTCCTGTTGTCGAGTGAGTGATAGCAAAATCCTTTTTTTAAGTGACATGTAATTAAAAAGAAATATTACTACACGCACTTTATATTACTATTTATTTGACAGCCAATAATTAAATTAAACAAATAAAATGGAAAAAATTTACCTCAAAATAGATCCGATCGTGGCACAGGATTAGTCGCTAATGAATTTGACACTGCACTAATTTCATATGCTTGCGATGAAAACATTCATAAATGCCCGATGATTCTTTGTTTTTAGCTAAAAGTACATAAGTTCTTACTAGAGACTTTGTTTATGAAATTCATAATCTCAGTTTTAGCATATACAGAGTGTCCCAAAAAAAGTTACCCTCTTTTTGCAAGATTACTTCTCCTTCTCTAGAATTCATTTTTTGATCCAATTATTTTTGTAATAGATAGAGCTAGGAAAACCCTACGAGATAGAGTTATTTTTATTTTGACAACAGCCCATTGCAATTGAAGAGAAAGACTAAACTCATTAAATGTGAAATTTGTGTTGGAATGATATACTTTCACCCGAAAACAAAAAATATTTCTCACTAATAGTTAATTTTGCCTTGAAATTTATCATAGCTATAGAACTAGGTACTAGTATATTCATTGTGGTAATATTTGGAACAAATATGAATCGTTTACTAAAGATTTTTTCGTTTTCATAGAATTATTTAGGTTTGATGCTAATTGCTATTACATGCTTGGTCATTATATTGTACTTTGTTTCGCATTATGAAACGAAAATTTGTCAACAATTGATACATATCCTTGTAGATATTGACACGCTCTGTCTATAGCATATAATTGATTGTAATTAAAACTAATTCAACTAATGAAATAACCAAATTTGTACGTTGCATTGCTTTATGCAAACAATACGAAATACTGCAATTGTAGAGATATTTCAATAATAGTAGCAAACTAACAATATTTTCAAATAATTTATATGGATACTTAAACTGTGAGCGTCGAAAAATATAGCTTGAAAATTTCAGGTCATAATACTGTATCGTTATTGAATTATTGAATTTTTACAAAATATAAAAGAGCAAAAATTGATTGTATCCCTGAATAGATTTCACATGTGATGAGTTTATTCTTTCTCTTCACTTGCAATGGACCGTTGTCAAAATAAAAATAGCTCTATCTTGTGGGGGTTTTCTCAGATCTATCTATTACAAAAATAATTGGATCAAAAAGTGAATTCTGCAGGATTAAAAATAATCTTCTAAAAGGGGGTAAGTTTTTTTTGGGACACCCTGTAATATTGAAAAAAACCGTTGTTCAACGTGTACAAGGAAATAAGCATTCAGTTAAAACAATTGAACATAAACAACATGAATTAAAACTTTAACTAATATCTATTAGAACTGATCTTTTTGTTTTATTATCTCACTAACTGTTATATCTAAATGAAATTCTTCTTCGCTTATTATTTATTTCTATCAATAAAACTTTTATTTCTTATTGTGTTGTATTCAAAACTTCATTTCGTATTATATCAATATATTTTAGTAAATAATTATATTAAAAAAATTCTCAGCATATTTAATCAGTGCGGTTTAATTAAAGTCGTTCAAGATTGACCAATTTTTATGGAATGAGACTAACATGCTCTTGTGGCGCAATTGGTTAGCGCGTTCGGCTGTTAACCGGAAGGCTGGTGGTTCGAGCCCACCCAGGAGCGTACTTTTTTTCTTTTCTTTATGAACAATCGCTGCTTAACAATAGATCACAAATCTCTTTCTAAATAATCATTTTTTCTTTATAATAACACCCATGATTAAATGATACATGTTTACATGTACAATGAAATAAGTATCATGTTCTACTATTGCCTATTGATTATACATTTTTTTTTCTTTGAATTTTGATATCTTAAATAAAGTTTGAAGAATTTTTAAATGTTATAATCTTCTGAAGAATGAAAACCTTGATATAAGTTTAACGTCGAATAAATTATTCAGTTTAAATGTGCTCTTGTGGCGCAATCGGTTAGCGCGTTCGGCTGTTAACCGGAAGGCTGGTGGTTCAAGCCCACCCAGGAGCGTTTATTTTTTTTTTGTGTATCTTCAATTTTATTTTATAAATCAATCAAAAGATAATCGATTTAAATCATAGTTTCTATTAAAAAAGAATATGTGTATTCTACTTCTACCAAACATAAACCCATGCATATGATGTAACAATTGATTGTGTTGGTGATCCAACAACATGTCCACCTTGATCAACAATACATTTAAAACCACGATCATCAACAACATCGCCATTTCTCCATTCAAAACGAAAACCATTTGTAAAAAATATTGGATCTAAATCATGCATACGATAAGCTGACCATTCAAGTGAATTATTTGATACTTGTCGAAAATGTGAATAACCTGAAACTTCAAAATGAAATTGTCCAGCATTAAAATAGAACGCACTATCAAAATAATCTTCTGTTCCAGTAGAAACAATTAAACCTGGAAATTGTTGTTCATGTGAAGTATATGCATGATAACAACCTTCTAAGAAATTTAAATTACCACTACTAACAGCTAATGTATGTGAAAGAAGTAAACCATGGCCTGTTGGTATATCAACAACACGTACCCATGCTAATGGATCATATGTTTGATTTTCGATTTTCTGTAATGTTAAACGAGCATTTGATGGAAGTTGAAAACCATGAAAAGATGTTGGCAAATTTTCTGTTCCACGTACAATTATCCAAATAATTTTTTTATCCATAACAGTTGACGGTAATTTACCAGTGACTCGAATTGATTTTTGAAATGGAACTCGACTAAAATTCGAGAAAATAATTCAAACAAAAAAAAAATCAATTTTTCTAAACCTTACAAATTATTATACCAACCACCTGATTGTGCTCCTTTACCAATCCATTTTGTTCCCCAAGGTGATGTTTGATCATTAAATCCAGCTCCAGCTAACATATAAGTTACAAATTGAATTGATGGCTCACTTTCTCCATCGATATAATACGAAAAAGTCGATTGATCAATAGCTTAAAAGAGTTATCATCAATAATCACATACAAAAAAAAAAGCGTCACAACTCACCCGGATCACCAGTTGTCCAAAAATGAGTAAGAACACCAAAATTTGAACCTGGAGCAAGTGTATGAGTTAAAATTTCAGTCTAAAATATATAGATAAATCTTAATATTCAATATAAATTTCTACGAATTTAATAATAACCTCGGTTGGATAAAGCCATTGACTTGAAAGTCCAATTCCGAATGTATTTAAATCTTGAGCTATTGTGGTTAGAACACATACAAGTAACAAAAACCAGACGTGCATGTTTAAAGATAAAAATCAAGGGAAGAAATGTTGCTTGATATACTATTATTGTCTTCTTCTTTTTTTTATTACACACCTTTTTTTAAATGATATCTTTATGTTAAATTTCAAAGATAACTATTGTTTTTTATAATGCAAATAAAAATGATAATAAGAACTTTGCTTAACACTTTTAGTTTTTTTTTTGAAATATCAATAAACAATTCAAAATAATTATAAAACGAAATATAAACTAGATTACTAAAATATTATCTTTTAGAACAGTTATATTTAGTATGGATCTTTGAAAATCGAAAGAAGACGAAAATAGATGGCAATATTTCAAAATAGTGACTATGATAATTTCTTTTTCAATCACGTAAAACACTGTATGATTGTTTCTACAGGGTTGTGCATAATCTTTGCTAAGGGTGGTAGCGCTATGATTTCAAGTTGAATACCTAATGAATTTTATACCAAATTAAAGCGCCTCGCAAACGGGATATATTAGTACTAAATAGTAAGAGTTATCAAAACCTTTCAATGTCGAACTTACAAAATTTTCAGAAATCTTATGTTTTTTTTGGTATAGAAAATTAAAGTGCCAGTAATTCAAATATGGAGTAAAATATTTTCTTTTGATATTTTTACATAGTTTGATAGAACTCGTCGAGCTCTACAAAACTGTCTATATAGAAGTTTTTTAAACCATTTTTCTGAGATAAAAAATTTTAAATATTATTTGCAACATGTTAAAAAATGTTTAGAAACTCGTCTTTTTATATGGAAAGGAAGCACTCAATTTTTTTGAATAAAATTAGCTTTTTTGCATTATTTTTACTAACAAAGACGTTTCGAAATATACTCATTTGATGCAGCGTGAAAAATTACGTCTAACGAGTATATTTCGAAGCGTCTTTGTTAGTAAAAATAATGCAAAAAAGCTAATTTTATTCAAAAAAATTGAGTGCTTCCTTTCCATATAAAAAGACGAGTTTCTAAACATTTTTTAACATGTTGCAAATAATATTTAAAATTTTTTATCTCAGAAAAATGGTTTAAAAAACTTCTATATAGACAGTTTTGTAGAGCTCGACGAGTTCTATCAAACGATGTAAAAATATCAAAAGAAAATATTTTACTCCATATTTGAATCGCTAGCACTTTAATTTTCTATGCCAAAAAAAACATAAGATTTCTGAAAATTTTGTAAGTTCAACATTGAAAGGTTTTGATAACTCTTACTATTTAGTACTAATATATCCCGTTTGCGAGGCGCTTTAATTTGGTATAAAATTCATTAGGTATTCAACTTGAAATCATAGTACTACTCCCCTAGCAAAAGGTTATGCACAACCTGTATTATTTGTACTTTATGAACTATATATTAATAATTTTTTATTGAAGTTATAACAAGTAGAGTGATTATAATAAATAATGCTAAAAACTATTGGTAATAATTAAAGAGTAAGAAGTATAAAAGTTTTTGTTCATGATTTTCTTTTTATCTTATAAAAGAACATCTTTTTATTTTCGAAGCTTCTATTGGCTAAACGCTAATGCATATATAAGTAGATTTTATGTCTTGATGATTCATGCATCACGATGGGCAGTCATGACAAATTATCGACCTAATAAAATATTGTTTTTGTTTTCGCGCTTCGCTGAATTCGTTGAAACATTTTTGAAAAATAACGATAACGTGAAACATGGCGACGGATAAAAAACGTAAACTTAGTATCTTAGATCGTTTAGTTAAACTCACAGTTAAACCACCACCGATAGAAGAAGAAATTTGGTCAAATTCACCTGTTCAAATATATGTGTATCAATTGCCAGAAGGTTTTTTCGAAACTGTAGACGGTGTACCATTAGAAGCTGGCTACTATGCTGTACCGTATTTCTATCAATCACCATATATTGCTGATCAACCAGAAGAGTTGCCTCATCATTCTCATCACCATGACTATTATCAAGCAAAACAAACATATGCTCAGTCACAATCGAAACCCGACAATAATAAAGTTTCCTCGAAAAAAGCTAGATTTAATCTAAAATTTCATAAACATTCTCATGATTATGAGCCAATAGTTTAATCTTTACTGGCAACTGCTTCTATCTGATTCAATGGTACCTGATACTTCAACAAATTTTTAAACAAATTCTACATTTAAAAGAACAATAAATATGGTTTATTGTATTGTGAATTTGTTGCGATTTAAAAAATATAATAAATAGATAACATCTAATTTAATGAGTAGTTCAATGTGTGCATATAAAAATTAATTGAATCGATTAGATTTTTAATCATTTTTTAGCGTGATTTTATTCCTGCAGCATTCTGCTAGTATCCCAAGAATATAATAGTCGTTATTTAGTATATTATACATATTGTGAGAATGTATATTTCACAAATGTCTGATTGTGATCTCAAAGATAAGTTTTATAGAACATACACACAGATTTGATAGTATTCTTAAAATAATTCAACACATCACAACAATAGAATATAATAGCTTCCTTTATTATTTTGAACGAGAACTACTGTAGTTAGTAATGATATAAGCTTTTGTATTTAGTCTAATGGTTTAAAATGATTCAAGCAATTGATACAGTCTATATTACTTATTCATATTGTTTTAAAACTCGTGATTTCCGTTAGTTTATAATCATTACAGAGAGCATACTTAGGACATATCGAAAGTAATGATGCCGACACTTTAATATCATATAGAAAGCTCATCAAATTTTCTATTGTTATATATTGATAATTCAATTTCTCTATAGCCAAGTTCATGAACTCTTTGAACTAAGAGGAATAGAGAAAAATATTCGATAAAAGGATACAATGGATGTGATTCTATGTAAATAACCCCACAGTGGCTACTTCGAACATGTGATGAAATAAAAGTTTGATGAATCTTTTTTTCTATATATTATTTTTCCGTTGAGCCGCCACTACGTAATATCAGTATATAAAAAGAGAAAATTTTCTTGAGGTTTTTATATGGAATGTACTATAGTACCGGTGTCATTGCTTTCGATATGCTGTAAGTATATCGAATTTCCTATCCTTCTCATTAAGAGTGTCTGGTGAAAACCAAATGCTGGTTTTTAGTAAGGTACTTTTTTTTCAATCATAACTTTCTCCAATTCCTTTGAAAATTTTTCAAAGAAAGTTTTTGATAAGACGAGAAGTCTGTTCTGAAAAGTTTTAGAGATCCAGCACTAAACGAAGTCAAGCTAGCGCTATGACATGAGTTCACTATTTCAAGGCGCACTAATTACTAAAATCTTGAATATGTACTACGAACTTTGATTATAAAAGTAAAGAAAGATATGTAAATCATACGCCCAATACATGGGTTGAAGCTTGTGATTAGAGTTTATTGTTGCACGTATATACTCAAAATATTAGCTCAATATCATAGGGAATAGTAGCACTTCATTGAAGGCAATTACTTTTGTTCACGGGAAATTAAATTTATTCAATGTTACTTTATGACTTTTTAAGCTATTATGACTTTTATCAATTTTACTCCTTTTAGTTCTCTTAGGATTAGATACAGACCTCGTTAGTGTATCCTTCCTATTGTTAAAGTTGTAGAAACGGTGTGAATATAGAAAAATAAAACAAGATAAATCTAATTTATCGTGGGGTTATGATTCACAACTGTATGTAAAATGTTATTCGTTTAACTAACATTTATTTCACCCTGATTCATCTCGTTGATGAGTAATATTTTATTCCGCATGTACATTTTATCGTATATCGGAAAGAGTGGCTCATAAATTAACGACATCTTTTGACAAATTAATAATAGAAAAAATTTGTTTCATAAAGTCTTATAAAATAATTCATATTTTTCATTGAAAAATATCAAAAGAATATTTAATTGAAAATTATTTTTTTTAATTCTCATTTAATTTATTTAGATTCCAATCATTCCTCCATCCATGAATTACAACATATGTTTATTTACAAGTATTTTTTTTCATTTCAATTGTGCTTCATATTTAATACGATCGTGATTAAGTTTTCATTTTTTTAATTTTTTTGTGTAAAATAAAAATCATCATCGCGATATGTCTCGCGATTCGATGAAAAAAATGACACGTTCAAATAGTGACGATGATGTTCGTCTCCGTCCAATGGCTACATTAATTCATTCAAAACCAACATCTCATGGTGCCGGTGAAATGAGTTTTGGTGCACGAGATGATGGTTCATCGATGTCATCATCAAATGAATATGTTGCATTATCATCATATCCAAATACTTCATCAGCTGCAGCAGTAAGTTTTTGTTTTTTTATCTTCTAATGTCAATATATTATTCATTCAAATGCTTGACAGATTAGTATGAGTTCTAATTTCTTTTATTAATATGTTCTTATTTATTGAAATAAATATTTTATAATTCTATGTGTTTGCATTTGTTTTTTGAGGGTACAACAAGAGGATATTTATCGGATCGACAACATGTTACAGCAGTGTCAGAACAACAACCAACTATTGCTCATACATATGAATTATCATTACCAATAAAACTTCTTTCAGGAGAAGATGATGTAAAATTAAGAGAAGGTTATTTGATCAATATATATTTTGTTTTTTTGTTAATTAAAACTAAATTTTAGATATAACTTATCGTACAAATAATCGATCGGTACCATATCGTGGTGAATTAATTGTAACAAAATATCGTTTAATGTTTGTTACAAAATCACCAGATCCTATTCAAGTATGAGAAAATGAAATTTTCATTTTTTGAAGAAATTATCGTTGATTTGTTTGTTTGTTTTTTTTTGTTGTATAGGTACTTGTTGATGTACCATTAGGTATGATAAGTCAGATAGAAAAAATTGGTGGACAAACAAGAAGTAATATAAGTGATGGTGCTGCATATGGAATTGAAATAAATTGCAAAGTAAATAATTATTTTAAATTTTCGAAGAATAATAATTATTAGATTTTTCTTTTATAGGATTTACGTCATTTCTTTTTTGGTAATGCAAAAGAACAAAATCAACGACGAAATTTACTTGATCATTTAACACGTCTTGTTTTTCCATTTTCCATTAGTAAAGCAGATATTACAAATCCTATTCAATTTTTTAATGTAAGAATTTTTTTTATTCGAAAATTGAATTGAGTCTATAGAAATGAATGAAGAGTATAGAATTTAAAAAGATTTTTAGCAAATTTCATAATTCCAGAGATATAACTAATATTCATCGAATGAATTAATCAAAACACGAGTATTATAAATGACAAAAAATTTGACACTTTGTTTTATAGGTTTTCGATCAGAGTTTCATTATTTAAATAATAATAAAAATTTTTAATATTTTATTTAGTCATTCTTTGCTATGGATTATAAGAAAAAAATTTGTTCAAATACAATTGATGATGGTTGGCTATTGTATAATAAAATGAAAGATTATACAAGAATGGTAAGTTCTATCAATAAAAAGATATAAAGTTCTTTTTATTTGTGTTGTTTTTTTTTCTTCATTAAATTCATAGCTTACAGTTAGTAAGGATGTACGTTTGCTCTTTTTTTCTTTATATTTGTCCTTGATTGGAAACTAATTTTTTTTCCCTTGCAAAAAAACACACACATACATATACATGATAAACATTATTTTAATTTAATTAATTTTTTTTTTTTTGTTAAGGGTATTCAACAAAATTCTGATCCACATTGGACAATAAATGCTGAAATAAATAAAAATTATGCATTATGCGATACATATCCAGATATAGTTGTTCTTCCGTCCAGTTTTGATACATCAAGATTACAACGTGTTGCTGATTTTCGTAGTCGAAATCGTATTCCAGTACATAACAAAAAAAACGTTTTTTCATCTTTTTTTTTTTTTTTATTTTCTATTGAATTTTTCTTTAGGTTCTTAGTTGGTATTCTCGTGAAACTTATGCAACTATAACACGATCAAGTCAACCATTAACTGGTTTAGCTAATCGAACATGTGATGATGATATTGAATTATTACGTAAAATAGCTGATGCTAATGTAAATCAAGGTTTTAAATTAGTTATACTTGATGCACGTCCAAAAGTTAATGCAATGGCAAATATGGCAAATGGTGGTGGTTATGAAGATTATCCAAATTGTGAACTTGAATTTCATAATATACAAAATATTCATGTTATGAGAGAAAGGTTAATAGACAGAAAAAAAAAACATAACGAAAAATTTTTGTGTAAATTTATTTTTTAGCTTAAGAAAATTACATGCTGCTGTACGTAATGCAGCACATGAAGATAAAACATGGTTTAGTGATTTAGAAAATTCTAATTGGTTATTTCATATTCGAGTATTAAAAACAAAAAAAATCTTGAAAATTTTATATAAAAATAATATTTTTGTTAGGCTATTTTAACAGCTGCTATTCGATTAGTATCATTAGTTCATAATGAAAAACGTTCAGTATTAGTTCATTGTTCAGATGGATGGGATCGAACAGCACAAGTAAAAATACTATTTTATTTTTATTTTATTTTTTTAATTTTAATATTTATCTAGTTAACTTCATTAGCAATGTTAATGCTTGATGCACATTATAGAACATTAAATGGTTATATGATTTTAATAGAAAAAGAATGGATTAGTTTTGGTCATAAATTTTTTTTAGTAAGAGAGAAAAAAAATTGATTTTAAAAAAGAAATGTATTGTCTTTTGTTGTTTAGCGTATTGGTCATGGAGATAAAAGTGATTCAGAACGATCACCAGTTTTTCTTCAATTTCTTGATTGTACATTTCAATTATTACAACAGGTAATATTAGAGAGTTATCAACGAAACTATTCTAAATGATAAATTATTGTTGAGTTTGGATTCGGTGATAAAGACTAAAGGAATGAAGTTAATTTTTCTACTTATGTCTATAAAAAACTCTGCTATAGTAAATACTGATTTTATCTTAAGAGTGATGGTATATACAATGAGTAACCAATTTTCTAATTCAAATTCTTTGAACAAAACTTAATGTGAACACTTCATAAATACGTTTACGTTTTTTAAATATCGATGTTTAACTCAATGAATTCTTCAAATCAAAAAGTTAATTGATCAAGTTTTTATATTTCTTCGGTCTCTTCTTAGAAAAAAAATCAGAGATTGTCTCAGATAGATGCGGACAAAATGATCTCCGGACTGGGACCTAATTCTTTTCTTGGCCAAGATCAAGATTAAATTATTTTATTGGCTATCGCCAGGATCAAGTTGTTGTTTGACTAGAATTGCGACCAAATTGTTTTCTTAGTCGATACCTAGGCCAGTACTTTTTATAGTCGTATAAGACTTGCATCGAATGTCATATTGCTTAGATTCATACGTTCTATATAGATATAGGCAAGATAATCCTCATTCCGTTCCTGTGTAGAAATATATCATCTATTTCTTTTCTCTTTTTTTTTTCTAGTTTCCATCTGCATTTGAATTTAATGAAAAATTATTAATAACAATAGCTGATAATCTATATTCATGTCAATATGGTACATTTTTACTTAATTCTGATAAATTACGTACTGATATGAAAGTATCTGAATATACAATGTCAGCATGGACACCTATATTACGTGAACGTTCATTATATTTAAATCCATTTTATACAGACAAATCTGATAAAGTTTTAATACCAAATAATTCATCACGTCATATTAAATTATGGAAAAATTATTATTGTCGTTATATGCCTGGTTATCGTTCGACATTGGTAAAAATAC